CACTGTAATTTTATGCATTTTTAAACTATTCATATAACTACAACACTTAATGTGTATAAAAAGAAAATTTATTTGAAGCATATTATAAGAAAATAAATGGTTAAAAGTTGGTTCCCTAATAAAGAATTTCTGTACATTAAATCAGCTGATCATAGTTTAACTACCACGAAAATGTATTTGGTAGTATTGTATAAATTTAATCAATTCTGCTTGTTKCTTTAGAGCAAAATTCTAGTGTGTAAACACATCTCTAAGAGCTTCACTAATTTTCAACATTGACTGACGAAAAAAGAAATATATATTTTTGTAGGGTAAGGATTAATATTAATGTTGTTTCTAAGTATATTAAATTCTCTATTACTACTGTAATATATTTTGTAAAATATTAATAAGGATTTGGAATAGCAATACTGTTAAAAATATTTTTTTAATTATAAGTATGTTATTAGAACTATAGGATTAAACCCTAATTGCCATTCCAACTCAATGTAAAATAAACTTTTATTTAGTAATATAATATTTGTTTAACATATTTTATAGTTATTTTAAGATTTACATGTTAATTCAAAACCATAACGTTGCCTATGGTAACATCAGGTAAATTTTCTGTAAATTTTATTTTCATTATTATTATTATTATTATTATTATTATTATTACTATGTACTATAATTGTTAATGGTTATTACTTATTTATATTAAAAATTACTTTAACCAAAATCACTATAATTTAATTCCAAATAATACTAACCTTGTAAAGTTAAAAGACAATAGTAATGTTCTATTCAATATATACAACAATTTTATTAAGCAGATTGTGGACTATCCGTCTTCTCTACCACTGACGGTTGATTATACAACAGACAAATAGCAATAACAGAGTAATTCTGTGGTCATAATCTACAAGAAATTGTAGTCATTGTTATTTACTTAGACAAATTTGGGTATATTATATTCTCAAGCTTATAAGTCAATATATATTGACAAAAACCATAAAACATGATTAGGTATGATAAACTTTGTTACTCCAATACAATATGTCATAAAAACTCTGAGATATTAAAAATAATAAGAAACTCAATTTATTTGACAAACAATACAATCATATTTTTGCAACTGTCTCATAAATTCATCAAGGCTGCGCACCAGCATGGCTACATCCAGTACAAATATTGACACTGTAGTACTGCGCCACCATGGCAAATTAATTTGTCCTGTGAGCCACTATAATGTGCACTAAGTATACCTATACTATTTTAACTCATAATGACATAGTTACAATGTTACATTATGGTACAACTAGATGTTAAATTTTAAAAAATGAACATGTAGATTCCCTTATTTCATACCAGTATTACAACATAATATTAGTTTTAGATGAACTCACAAAAGTAACTAAAAGTTATAAAATACAACTTACCTATATAGTAAAAAGTTTATATTTACAATTTCAATTAGCTTGGGGTTTGATTAAATATAAAAGCAGATTAAATTGGTTAAATTAAATTAAGAATTTATCTAAAGGTTTATTTTATTGGGAGTTAATGATCTATTGAAGAATTACATATTATTTTTATTAATTATAATAATAATATATAAACATATAAATTGGGCAAGTGTATTATAATACTATTCAGTAGATACTACTTTATTACCAATAAATTATATTATTATATTATCCTTTTTTAATAATAGGTACTTAGGTATATTTAAAGGAACAATTTTTAAACTAGGTAGCAGGTGTATAGGTATTTTGACAAATTTGTTTATTACATTTTACATACCTAATATAAAAACATAAATACCTTTACATGTTGTTTAATAAAATAGTTTTATGAAGCTTTTGTCTTTTGCTAGCAACCTTCATTGTTGAAGAAATTAATATTTTGCTAGAAGAGTGTAATCTTATATTTAAATATGTGAGAAATTAGGTTGATTAATTTAATTTTGTGAGGTCTTGCATGTCTGTTAGATTTAGATAGTATAGATAGATCTGTACAGGAGTTAACATATTATGTACAGTGATTAAACTGCATAACTATTTTCTATAAAAAAGAGTGTAAATGAATAATGAGTTATAATAGTTTTATTGTATAAATAATATATATTGTATATAGCTAATAAATAGAGTTAGGATGTTGATGAATATTGCATTTTTTTTCCTTTGATTCTATACAATAATGCTATCCTAGCTAAAAAATTGTTTCATGCTCCCTTGATGCAGAATAATCTAATTTTTTGGCATTTTTAGCTATAAATGCATTTTTTGTTTTTAACGTCATTTTTTCATCTTTTAGGACATTTTTTGTACCAGGTGGGGCATTTTACTCAAATTATAGATTTTAGTGTAAATGTTACACCCAAGTTTGGAAACAAATTTAATTTATTTAAAATCTAACTTTGGATTTAGACAAGTAGTTAAAGATAATTTTATTATTATTACTGTGTGGTTTTTGTTGTAATTACATTTATCGTGTTCCGATAAGATTTACTCTTAGAAAGAGTTTTTTTTAGTTTTTAGCTTTGAGTGTTATAGGTATCACAGATTATCAGGGCCGGATTAAAGGGGGGGCAGAGGGGGCATCTGCCTCCGGGCGCAAGATTTTAAAGGCGCAAAGTTTTGAAATATTGTGGGTACCATTTAGAGTGAAAAAACTATTAGCGATTACGACAGTGTACACGGCGCGCAAACTCACATACGCGTTTTCACGAATTTACCGATATCTGAATTACAAATAATAACTACAATCACAGAGTCCGC